CTGCTCACCGCAACTAGAGAAAGCCCATGCACAGAAACGAAGACCCAACACAGCCAAAACTAAATAAATTAAAAAAAAAAATACTCTTCCCTTTTCCAACTATATATCTGTGTGAGTCTAGATTTTCTACTTATACTTCAACCAAAACAACATAAAGCAAGAGATTAAAAGTTGAAACAGATACAAGAACCCAGCTGTCTTCTATTCAGCCAGATTTTAAAGAGATTTGCAAAACTTCAGTGTCACTCCTCTCACTAATTATTTTGTTTTGTTTGGAAAATAGTTGCATTTCATCAAAAATGTGTTATTTATGTTAACATGCAGTAGGTTTGTTATTGTTGTTAAATGAGTAAATATTTTAAAAATTTCTCAGTTTTAATTTCTAATATGGTAAATATTGATAAATATAACCCACATAAACAAAATCTCTTTGAAAACAAAGAGAAACAAAATCTCAATTTTAAAAGTCTAAAGATCAAAAAATTTTGATAATTACTAGTCTACATGGAAATATCCAGTCTCAAAGAAGCACTCTCCAATGGGATTCATTGAGTAACCGCTGATTCTTTTTAATGTTTCTAAAATTATTCAATTTTTGTAATAAGGCCAGCATCCAATATCCTTAGTATCCTTATAGGAATGGGACAGCGCAAATATAAAATTTTTTTCCAGTTTTGCTATTAAGATTCTTATTTGTAATTCTAAGGTAGTTATCATATTCTGTAGTGAATTTTAGATACTAAATGTAATTGCAAGTCAGAAATTAGAAGTGTGTCACCAGAGTAGGAGAGAAAGAGGGTGGGAGGGAGGAAAGGAGGGAGGGAGGGGAGGACTGGTAGAATTGGTAAAGTGAAATACGGCAATAATCTGAGTTTGTCCTGTTAATATAGTCTCAGTAAACAGGCTTTACAAGTGTACTATTAAACCTTCATTTAGCCATGGAAATGAGGACAAGATAGAATGAATAAATTAAATTTATAGGTTTAAAAAAATTATTTAAATTGTTACTTAAAGTGCCCTTCAAACCTTAATCCAGAAATGCTAAAAAGAACCAAAAAAATCCTACTTATTCTAACTTCTTTCTTGTTTTCTTCCTTTTATGCACTCTTATAAAATGATCAAAATATGGATAATAGAGAGTAGAAAAAATGTGAAACTATAAAATTTATAATGTGGCTAATCAACCTCATAATTTAGACTGACAGAAAAATGTAAAATATAGAAGTATTGCTCCCTATTTCATTCTACCTTTAGCCTTGGAGAGGAGTAATTTGGGGTCCCCAATATGCTTTATGAGACATTGTCTCATTTCACAATACCATGAAGAAACTAGGAACAAAGCTGCAGTTGGAGAAGGGGAGAGCATTAAGGGAGACTGTAAGAGAATTAACTCAGGATGACACAGGGAAGATAATTTAGGTTTTCTTAAATTCAGTGCTGATGCAGATTTATATTTTGTCAGGAAAACTGGGTTTCCTGCTGTAATACAGTTTCCTATATTCTAATTTTATGGACAGAGTCTGTCAATGTCTTCTTGCTCAGTGTGGATCATAAGATTACTATTCAGATTAAATTGCAGGGGGCAGTTTAGGTCACCCACGGCCAACTTACATAAGAAGGTTAGTCATTTGAATGAAAACTTGTCTAGGCCACAAAACCACCACGTTTCTACATAAAGTAGGTGCATCCCTCTCTGTTGAAGTGGTCTTGGTATTCGACTCTAAAAATAGGCCTACACTGTGGTAAAAATCTAACCCATTTGTTTATCCAAATCATGTGAAGAAAATCAGCTTTGACATGGCTTTTAAGTTCAGGCAAGAATCTTTTATCTGTGTCAAAAATGATTGAGTCAGTTCCTTTAAAGCTTTTTGTGATAATTTTAGGAAAATTTGACATATAAAGAAAACTTTAATTTAAATGCTTGAAATAAAAGAGTTAAGGGGGCTTCCCTGGTGGCACAGTGGTTGGGAGTCCGCCTGCCGATGCAGGGGACACGGGTTCATGACCTGGTCTGGAAAGATCCCACATGCCGCGGAGCAGCTGGGCCTGTGAGCCATGGCCGCTGAGCCTGCGCGTCCGGAGCCTGTGCTCCGCAACGGGAGAGGCCGCAACAGTGAGAGGCCCGCGTGATGAGAGAGTTGGCGTAGAATGGAAAAGCTATCGATGCAGCATGTACTGGCTGTGCGAGGTTCAGAGGAGATAGAAGTGGAAAAACAAGGGGAAAAAGGAAAAACAGTGAACTTCTAAGAATTAGTAACATGTCAAGCCAAGCCCTGGTAATGTTATTAGTTCTTGAATTTTGAGTTATTTTGGAGGGTAGTTGATAAGTTCCCCAAGCGTGCAGAGCAACAAGTTTAGATAGACTTTTAGAGAGCAAAGAAGTTAAGCCAGAAGGAGCACTGAAGATAATCTTGGGCACATAAGGGGATGCAAGAAAAGAGACATATACCTAATGCCCTAAGTACTAACTTCTTTACTTTCTACAGATCTCCAGCTATAGGTATGCGTATTTGAATAATTATAGCATAAAAACATCTAGGAAATCATTTGAATTTCCTTGAAGTCAGTCAATACCAGGAATACCTATCATCCTGTGATAAAAAGACTAAAAGTCCTTAGAAAGTAATAGTAATGAAGATTCTCACCTAATAGGTAAAATGTGCTTATTTATTATTACAACTCTCCTGCACTCATGGGTGTTTGTTTTCTAATTTCTTCAGTTTGAGGTGCTCCTCTAGTGTAATAATTAATAGTAATAAGTAATGTATTTTACTGTTTCCTGCAGTATATTCCTGAGAGGAATTAGTCCTTCATGGCTAAAGAACTTTTGTTTTTGGCGGTACGCGGGCCTCTCACTGTTGTGGCCTCTCCCGTTGCGGAGCACAGGCTCCGGACGCGCAGGCCCAGCGGCCATGGCTCACGGGCCCAGCTGCTCCACAGCATGTGGGATCCTCCCGGACCGGGGCACGAACCCGCGCCCCCTGCATCGGCAGGCGGACTCTCAACCACTGCGCCACCAGGGAAGCCCCATAAAGAACTTTTAATATATACTGAACTGTCATAAAAGCCTTACTCAATGGATCTAATGTGTACTTATGGTTAAATTATGTTCCAAGTTTTTCAACAGGCCAAATGAACAAACAGATCATATTAAAGAGTTTTTAATTGATTTTTTTGGATCTGACCCCTAAAGCAAAGGTAAAAAAAGCAAAAATAAACAAGTAGGACTATATCAAACTAAAAAGCTTCTGTACAGCAAAGGAAACCATCAATGAAATGGCAGCCTTCTGAACTGGAGAAAATATTTGCAAATCATATATCTGATAAGGAGTTAATATCCAAAATATATGAAGAACTCATACAACTCAGCAAAACAAACAAACACCCAAAACAGTCTGATTAAAAAATGGGCAGAGGATCTGAATAGACATTTTTCCAAAGAAAACATATAGATGGACAACAAGTATATAAGGTGTTGAACTTCCCTAATCATCAGGGAAATGCAAATCAAAACCACAATGAGATATCACTCACACCTGTTAGAATGGCTATTATCAAAAAGACAAGAAATAGCAAGTGTTGGCAAGGATGTAGAGAAAAGGGAAGCCTCGTGCACTGCTGGTGGGAATGTAAATTGGTGCAGCCACTATGGAAAACAGTATAGAGGTTCCTCAAAAAATTAAAATGGAACTACCATTCAATCCAACAATTTCATTTCTGGGTGTTATCCAAAGAACATGAAAACACTAATTGGAAAAGATACATACAGTAGCCAAGATATGGAAACAACCTAAGTGTCCATTGGTGGATAAATAGAATACTACTCAGCCATTGAAAGAAATGAAATCTTGTCATTTACGACAACATGGATGGACCTTGAGGGTATTATGCTAAATGAAATAAGTCAGACAGAGGAAAACTAATACTGTATGACCTCACTTTTATGTGGAATCTAAAAACCAAAACAAACAAAGAAAACAAAACTCAGAGATTCAGAGAACAGAATGGTGATTTCCAAGAGGAAGGGGTGGTGGGTGAGGGGGTGAAAGGTTTTAAGAGGTACAAATTTCCACTTACAAGTCATGGGGGTGTCAACTGTAGCATGGTGAATATAATATTGTGGTGTATATTTGAAAGTTACCAAGAGAATAAATCTTAGAAAGTTCTCATCAGAAGAAAAAAAATTTTTTTTGTAACTTTTTATGGTGACAGATGGTAATTAGACTTATTGGGGTCATTATTTTGCAGTGTATACAAATATTGAATCATTACATTGTACACTTGAAACTAGTATAATGTTACACATCAATTATACCTTAATAAAAGAAAAAAAACTAAAGTAACAGGAAATGAGACGTTTAGAAGAGTTGAAACATTTAACTTTGATATTGTGTGCCTCCACCTTTAAGAGACATGATGGTAATATGTTTAGATCTTTCCTTGAGGAAATTGCCTTCTATGTTTTTAAGATCTTACTGGCCTCTAGTGGTAATATGATGCTGTAGTTTAACCATTTCTAAATCTTACAACTGACTAGAAATAAAGTTATTTTGAAGACATAGGCTGCCAATAACTCACTCCTTCAGTACTGGATCAGCAGCACTCTTGAGTGTACATGCAATATCATCTTCTTCCTAAAGATTGTCTATCTTTTGTTCTTGTCTCTGAGTCACGCCCACCTCTTTCTTTTGAATGATACTAGTTTTGCTCTGAAGTGACCTCCCATTATTTTAGTGCATGCACAGTGGTGATTACTATGTCAGGTTTGTACTAACAATTCTTCCTAGTGTCTCAGCCCTCTTTTCTGCGGACTATGGGGCAAAATTTTCCCTCTGTATATAACTTTTTATTTTCGTCAGAGGAATTTAAGTTTTCAGTTTACCATTTAGATTTATGTTTAGACCTCCTTACTTTGATTTTGAAGAATCTTACATTTGAACTACAAGTTTACCAAACATGGCAATGATTTGTCACTTTTGTTTTTTGTGTTTGTCACACAGATGTGAAAGGGCCACCTACCCATCGTCTGTCTTGTGGCCAGTCACCCTACACCGACACAACAACATGGGAGCGGAAGTACTGCATCCTTACAGACAGCCAGCTGGTGTTGCTCAACAAGGAAAAGGAGGTGAGGTGGATATTACGAGGAAAGCTACTTCCCTTTTCTGACCAAATTCCTGAAATAATCTAGTTTTTATTTGCATCTTGATGAGTTGCATTTATGAAAATGGAGACTTTATGAAGGACACACTCTAAGTGGGTCTAAGGGACTGCTGATGTCATCATGATGATACGTTATTGCCGCAAAGGCGTGACGTCAACAAAACAGGGCTGGATTTTCACTAAGGAATAGTGAAAGAGATATTGAGTTGAGTAATTTGGAATGAGAATGGGTTGGATTGTGTAGACCTGGCCCTGAAAGTGGTCCAGAGAGGCTATTGGAAATTATATCAGTCTAGCTCCTCGCAAGTAACAAGTAGCATAGTCAGCAGATTAATTGAAAGCGGTTTAATGAAGGGACTATACAGAGTCATGGGCAGCATAGGGGACCCATCAGAGGGGGATAAAGTACCCATGAACTGGCAACAGCAGAAAGCAGTTGTCACCCTAGACCTTCAGGGCAAGGGAAGGGAGCAATGTTTCTGGAACCCAGAGAACTGTAGTTGCATGAAAGGACTGCATAACAGTTGCTATGGCTATACACAAAAGAACACAGCCTCTACCAAAACAAAAATGGCCAGCAGGGAGGAAGCAAGGGAGAACAGACACACCAGGTCTCTTTCCTGCTTTCTGATTTCTTGCCAGTGTTACCTACTGGCCAAACCTAACTTGAAGCCAAAGGAAAAGATTGCTTTTGATGTGTTCTGTAGAGATTTGTTTCCTGAAGCACAGCAAGGGAGAGAAAGGCAGAGAGTAGATCTGGAGAGGCAGACAGAATGTAATTATTACAGACATCTAGTTCTAGGTAAACTTTCTGTCCCTCTAAGTGAAAAAACCCTTGAACTTATCATATACTATTACTACTTTACTCCTCAAACTATTACAGTGTACAAATCCTTCCACATCCAAATAATTCATTTGCTTATTGGTGATGTATTGGATAGTTGACTTGGTAAGGCCAAAAAACCATCCTACTCCACAACATAAAAAAATTAGTATGATCTTGACAAGAAGAGGGATAATGGGAGGGAAGGAGAAGAAGAGATCTCATTCGATGAAGGAGAAAGATTAATTGCCAAAAATATATATAAATAACTAGAAAACTGTAGGTAGAATATCAATTTCATAAGCCATCCCTCTGGAAAAGTTAGTTCAGAGGAAGCAGTGCACAGAAAACACATTTCTTAATTCTAGTCTGTGGATCTCTACCTCCCTTTTCTCTTCTCTCTCTCCTCCCCCTCTGTCCCTTTTCTTTTGCATCTCTTCTCTTACTTACCATTCTTTAACATCGTAAAGGCAAGGTCATAGCAATAAAGCAATTTCAGTTTCTTCTTTTATTTTCATAGGCAATTCTTACTTGCAAGGACCTGGCTAATGTGCCCTCTATGAACTTGGTTATTCTTTTTCTCCAACCATTGAAAAATGTCCCTTACTTTTGTTACCATCTCCCTACCCATGACCCTTTTCCAGTATTGTAATATAATTAAACTTAATTTTATTAAAATAATTCAATAAAGGTGAGCCCTTTCTGGAACAGTATAGTACATGTTGCTTTGTTTCTATTAAGTAGATACATAATAAAAATTGGTAGAGTGAATATTAGTGTAGAATATTTCTAATTATCCAATTTGAATAGACAGATAATTTAACATGTGCATTTAAACCAATCGACTCTGTCAGCAGTCTTTTATCAGAGCTGTTAATAAGGAGTGATATGAACATATCATCTGCCATCTTTTTGCCCTTACCTACATTTTATTCAATTAGTAATGTAAGAAATTAAATAGCCTAAAGATAGATAGCATAAGGTCAAGAGCATTCCTTATCTAGAACCAAGATATAATGCATGGATTAAATAATACTGATCAATTGAGTAATCCAGGCTTGGGCTCCCTTTAGTCCCATAAAATAACTGTCCATGATGAATGATTTCTAAAACAATTTCTTATGTACTTTATCGCTTTTTATGCCAGCCATCAAGATTAGCCCTAGACACCTGGGGAACCCCTCATTTTCTCGTCTACATATCGCTCTGTATATCCTCTTTTCTCCTTTCCCACCTTTTGAAACCCTTTGCCCTCTGCAACTCACAGTCCATCATCAACCAAATCAGCTGTTTCTTCCACCCCTTTTCTGAAGCAGTTCCTTAACTTCTTGGTCTCGTGAGAACCTGTAGCTTTCCTGAGGACACTGTCATCTGTGAAGTCCTGTCAAGTGATGGCTGTTTTTTTCCCACAGCCTTCATACCATGCTGCCTACAGTAGGCATCCTTCTCCTTTCATGGCTGCTTCCTGTCTCTTCTCCCTCATTTTCCCTATAAAGCCCAGACTCTGAGTCCCATGTTGTAGTCATCTTCCAACCCCACCCCCGGCCCCCGTCATTTCTTGTTGATTTTAGCTTCTGGCTCATTATCATTATTTCCAGCACTACTCCAGCCTTAACTTGTGATGATTCCAATATCTGCAGAGATGATTCTTTCAACACACTGACTCTAAGTTCCTTGAACTCCTCTCCTCCAAGAATCTCTTCCTCTACCCTGCCTCATTGCTACAACTTCTCAATATTCTCAATTGTGTGCATCTTACTGTCTGACCTCATATCTTTCTAGCTCATCCCTTTTTCCAACAATTTTTCAATCCTTTGGGACCTATGGGCCATTGATCTTGTCACCTTTTCTGCCCCTCATACCTCTGATACCCTCTCTTCCCTCTTCTCCCAGCTTGAATTCCATGGTCAGTCATTTTCATCTTTGCATACTATTTCCTTGCCCTTTTTTGCATCATCATACTCGCTTGGCAATGTGATAGGTCAGTTAAATCCTGCTCCTCATCTATCCTGCCCTGCTTCCATGCAGCATAATGTGTCTGGAGAAAATCACTCCACCCTGCTGACAGTCTTTAAACTAATGTTTACAAATCTCATGTGAGCCTCTAATGCTGCTTGGCAATCACAAAACATTTCCTAGTCCAGTTGCTTTCCAACTCTACTGGACTAGTGCTTCTCAGTCTATGCGTGGTAAAGGACCAAGTTTTTCCCTACCTCATCATGAACAATAAAATACAATAATATGAATTGTGAAGAAAAATGAAGTTTTAAAAAGACAAAAATCTAAGTCCAAATTTTTTATTAGATTGAACAAAAATGAAATTACAGTTCAATAATAATCATACATAGGAAAATAAGGAATAGAATTACAAAAATTGTACATGTTCATGGAGAGTGTGCTGTACAATGAGATGAATCCACTGATCACACCAGGCACAATTCTCAATTTCTGTGTTGCTAAATTGTTTATTGTGGACCATTAACAGTTTGCAGAACAGCACAGGACCTTGGAGTAGCACAATCCAGGATGATTTCTAAGATGATTTTTTCATGCTTCCTCTTCCATTATAATTCCTTGTCTATTACCCTCACTTATAGCTGATTACTTTGCTGCTTATTTCACTGAGAAAATTCAGCCACTCAAAAGAGAACTCTTTTACCATGTCTACCCATCCACCAGCAACTATTTCCTTATACTCTGATTTCCCTCTTTTCACTGTGGTTTGATTGCCTACAGTCCAACTGTCAGCCCCTCCCCTTGTGCCCATTCTTGCCTATTCAAGGATGTATCAATAGCAGTTCTCCCTTACCTCTTTTACATCTTCAGCTCTCTGCTCTCTACTAGATCGTTCCCATCAGCATGCTATTATTTCTCCCATCTTAAAAGAAAAAATGAGCCTGCATTAATCTCACTTCTACCGCCAGTTACCACCCCTTTCTTTGCTTCCCTTACCAGCAAAAATTCTGGAAACTTCTAAACTCACTGTCTCTAATTCTTCTCCTCTCATTCTCTCTTAAACCTACTTCATTCATACTCTGACCTATATCACCTTGTGAAAATTGCTCTTGTTAAGCTCACTGGTGACCTCCACATTGCTAAATTCAGTGGTCAGTTCTCACTTCTTGTCTTACTTAATCTGTTAGTGGAATTTAATGCAGTTGATCACTCATTCCTCCTCCTAGAACCACTTTCTTCACTTGGCGTCCATGACACTGTGCTGTCTTAGTTTTCTTCCTGTCTCTCTGGCAGTTCCTTCTGAGTCATCTTTGCAGATTTCTCTTCTACTCTCCAAATCTCAACAGGGGAGTGCTACAGAGTTCAGTCCGTGGACCTCACTTCTTTAGGAATCTCATCCAATCTTATGACTTCAAATACCCTCTAAAGCTGATGATCTTAATTTTTTATCTTAAGCCTACACATCTCTCTTCTCTAGACTCATATATCCATCTGTCCATTATACACCTCTACTTGGATATGGCTTTGTCACTGTTTTAAGCACATCAGGCATGTTCTTGCCTCAAGACCTTAGCCTTGGCTTTTCCCTCAGATATTTGCAGGACTCACTTTCTCACCTCCTTCAACTCTTTGGTTGCATATCACCTGCTCAATAAGCCCTACTCTGACCAACTTATTCAAAATTGCAACCCCTCCCTGTATCTCCATTCAGAACTTCCAATCTAATTACCTGGCTGTATTTTTTTTTCCCCTATAGCATTTACCACCTTCTAAAATGCTATATAATTTATTTATTATGTTTATTGTCTCTTTTCTCTTATATAAGCTTTTAGGGCAGGGAGGATTTTATCTGTTTTTTTCAGTGCTATATCCCTCAGTGCTTAGAACAGTTCCTGACACATAAGTAAATTCTAACAAATATTTGTTGAATAAATTTTGAAAAAGCCAAATTATAAACTTTGATTCCTGAATATCCATTTTTTTAATTTAAGTTTGAGAGGAGACGAACCTTCTATCTTTTCTTTTTTATGTGATAAGTCTTCCCACAACAAGAGGTGTAATTACATATTTTTTCTAAGACTGGATAATAAAAGAGGGGAAAAATAATCCATAAGATGCTTTTCAATTGTTGAATATGAAATTCCATCTTTATTTATTGAGCATCCGTTATGTGTAAAGTATTGTGG